GGAGACTGGGTCTCGCGCACTGCCATCCTCGCCCTCTTGGAACCCGGAGAAAAAGGAACCCGCTCTTCTGTTGAGGTTTTGAATAGAAAGCGGAATAGAAAAAAACAGGAACAAAGGTTTCTCCACCCGGCCCTCCGCCGGGGGAAGGAGCGGTGCGGTCACCATCTCCTGAAGAGCCGGATCCAAGAACCCCGGGTCGCCCGTCCCAGGGACGCCGCCCGCCCTAGCGCTTCACGGGCTTGGCAGGGGCGGAGACGGGCTGCGCCACTTTCCTGCGGCCAGCTCCACACTGCGGCCGTTGTGAAGGCTGCTGCTGCGGCCGAGCTGGAGCGGAGATAGAGGCCACAGGAGGGCGCTCTCGGCGACGAGCAGACAGGGGGGCTGCAGCCGGCGGTAGAGTGGCTACAGCAGCCGACAGCCGGGGCAGGATGTATTGAGTTGCCTCCGCCTGCTGTTTCTTCCAAACACTCGCGGAGATTCGTCCTGAGAAGGCTCGGCTCCGAAGCGAAAAGCTGATGTGCGTTTGCACGCGCTCTCCTTTTATATCCGCGCTGCATGGCGGGGTGCGCGTGGCGAAACACGCACGCCAACTATCATTGACTTGTTTAGTTTACACTCGAAGGTGATTGGGCTCTCGGGCGAGATCCCAATTCGTCAGTCACTGACGTAATGTAGAACATGACTGACTGAATGGGAAATAGAGTTTTCACATGCAAATGTCTAAAAGAATTATGTCCATCTACAGGCATAAGAATTAAAAGCACTGAATAAAGTAATCCTTATTAAATACATTACTTTTGAATTACATCCCACAGCATCATAGAATGGTCCTTGTAGAAATAGTCTCTCAGTTTAGTAACGCCTCTGTCCAAGAAGTCAAATTTGGGCTGGAGGGAGCGATAGGTTAATACTTTATACTCCCTCTGGGCCAGAATCAAGAGTCCATCTCCACCTGTTGATACCACCTGAAAAACGCAATTTTTTAAATGTATGACCTATTGAGTGAATTCAAAATACAATACAGTTATGTTGTTTGTGGTTGGCTTGTTTTAGTGGGTGATAAGATCCAGGACCACTAAAAATCCAGTGCCCAAAGTTCAAAGTGCTAAAAATAGTATTTTTTGTAGGCTTTATTGTTTACTCACACTTTTGAAGATGCCATCCGGTGAGATGAGCTGTGTTCTTCCACGACAATTAATCTCAAGCGTATACCTCAGGTGTGGAGTCAAGAGCTGCAATAAGAGAAAAAATAAAGAAGACCCTCAACATACAATACATCTGGATAATTTAACGAATGAGCGATTTTGATGTAACAGTGATTATCTAACTAAACATGCAAATGTATCTTTCCTAAAAAGCATTCCTGTAGACTTCCTCTAACCTTATATATAGGGTGAACAGCAGGCAACTGTCGGAGTGTGGACACACAGATCACTTCTACCAACAAGTGTGTGCGTAGCAGATGTGATAACAACTGAAAGACCTGGAATTCAGCGTGACGAACCCACATCTTAGCCAACAACCAGGCCAGAGGAGGATCGCTAGGTAGAAATATGGGTGTGTCCTTATCAGGTTTCTGGTCAAGCTGAAAGGAAGAGAGAAGAACAATCAGCAGAATTCATGTTTACATGCTTTTTGTCTTTTTTTCAAACATATTTTCAGCTGATGGAGGCAGGAATAACTGCTCTAAGAAAAATTCTGCTCTATATTCATCCCAGATTATTATGATAATAAATGTGAGTCAGTAGGTTTTACCTGTATGGCGATGGGAATGAGACCTTTCTCGGGATGCTCATACAGTAAGCAAAGCGGGGCAGCTATGTGCTGTGTCTTGTCTCTGATTACATTGGCAGGAATCCCATCCATTATCGCATGATCAACCAGGAATATATTTCCTTTCTTTAGCAGGAGAGACAAAGAAACATTATTAGATCCACTGTTCCAAGAATCCATTGTATTTAAGAAAATAAGCACTAAACTCTCACCTTGAGTTCCTCCTTCAGCGTGGTTGTAGGTATCAGAGACGACTGCACCATGTCTCCAGTGACAGGGAAGTTTGAGGGCAGCTTCTTGCACCTGGTAATCATCCGTGGGTTTGAGCCATTGAGGAACTGGTAACCAAAAAAACAGTCTTCTTTCCAGTGGTTCATGGTGTATTCTGATCAGAATATTTATCACAAATTCATGTTATTCATTTAATAACATTTAGAAACACATTTGTATGTAGGTTGATTCGGCAATGATTATTTTAAAACAAGCCAATAAACAAAATCAATCAATAAACAGCTAAAACAGGTTTAAATATTTCACTGCGTCACTGCATCTCTAACCCATGGATTACGTTCTCATTTGCACATTTATGAGGTAAATAACGTCGAGCAAAAAAAAAATAGCTCCTGACAGACACGCTACCTCCACCTGTTTTTATAACTGCTCACCTGTCTGTTGAAATGCCCTTTATGGTAATTTTAAATATGTTTTTATAGTACAATAAGCAACGAATAACACGGTCTTTTCTTTACTCCAGATAACGCGTTGCACATTTTTCTCTCAGACACTAAAAGAGCATGTAAAGTTCATGCGACTATAAAAAAAGCTCACAAGGTAAGTGCTGTTTAATTTATTATTGGTTTCTGTTGTCCAAGAGAGGGAGTAAATGTAAAATTGTGACATGACATTGTGAAATGCCATTCATTTGTCTCCTACACATAGCTGCGTTGCATAAACGTGTTACAGAATGACATTTTCTGGGAAGAGAGCATTCCGAGAATTAAGTGATTTGCATGAAATGCATATTTTGTGGTAACTAAGCTAGGTATTTAGCCAAAAAGTGAAGATTTAGTGATTGTTACCAGCTATAGGGCTTCTTAGCTTCCAGAAGATCCTTTTGAAGTCGTCCAGGTCATTCCAGGACTTCCCGAATTTGATTGCCAGTTTTTTCAGAGAGAGCTCCAAAAGCCTGAGAGGCCAAACGGTTTACAAATGAATTAGTGATTAGATTAATGTAATAGTAATTAAATGATGCATAGACAGGGGAACACACCGGCTTATGCACCTTAAAATATCAAGTCAGTCACTCTAATAAATCAATACATGCTCTGCAAAACCTGTAGTGCATTTTACTCACGCATAGTGAAGGGATCCCACAAAGTCACTGCGCTTCTCGTTGTCAAAGCGAGCGTCCTGGGGGAGATCGGCCTCTGACTTGGCATCAATGCATTTTGGAATGCCTGGGGCCCATGCAAGCCATCTGATAGGTGAGACACCGAGTTCAACAGGGATTTATGAGAAGTACATTCTCTACAAAGATAGGAATGCAGGGATAAGTTCAGTGTATGCAATTGCCTTGAAGACCTGTATATTTTTTGCCTCTCCTGAAGCTCTGCGTTTCTGTGAGATATCTCCAGTGGCAAGGTGTCATCACTGATCTTTTTGGCTATGAGAGAAAAGGAACCGGAGTTGAGGACTTAACCATGCGGATTCATTTTGATCTCAGATTGATCTTAGTTGTTATTGCATTTGCAGTTCAACATAACTGACCTGTGCCTTCTCTCAGCTCTACTACCACTTTATCTCCCACTAGCCAACGGTAACAGGGAAAAGTATAGCTGCTTCTTTGTCCAGGTACACTGACTTTCACGTAAAGGCAGAACCAGTTATCCTCCACCCAGTACTTCTGCTTCTCCAGGCGCACCAGTATCAGGGGACCCAAATCAGCAGCACTTTTAACTGTGTAATCATCCACCTACAAAATAATGGGAATATATCAATATTAGAGATGTTTTAATTCATTATTATTTGTCAGTATTGCATATTTAGTTATGGTTATTTCACATTTTGTACATTTAGATTACATTTCGCTATCATTTAATGCTCACGTATTCTTTAAAAACACAAATAACTGAATAATACCTTTAAATGTAGTATTTAACAAATCTCAGAATAATTATCTGTTTTTCAAACTGTGCATTATAATAACATGATGTCTAAATTCACTTGTATCATCTAAAATGTTTGTTTATAGTTTTTAGTGTTTTATTTTAATTTTGTAGACATAATAGTTCAAAAGAATTCAGCCATTTATCATTTATTGGCTATTACATAAAAAATATACCATTATTTTTCTGAACATTATTGGTCAAAATTTTAACATTAGTGTGCGTCTCTTCTTTTTAGAGATAGATTTTTTTTCTGTTTTGGAAATGTGATTTTTGTTCATAACATTATGATCATTTGTCACTTGTAAATAAAAAAAGATCTCTACTGCACTAGACAGAGAAAAAAGGATGAAATAGTATATTTAATCATAAGCACACGAGCATGTTTACTCACCGCTCGTCTGCGGAAGTCTAGGCCTGGATTGTCCAGCACGGTTCTCTCACTCTCTCCTCTCTCTCCAACCAGAGTCACGTATATGTAGTTATTGGTTCCTGAATATTCTGAGGTCCCGGTGGCCACTGTCACTTTGTACTCCATCTGCACACATACACATACAAATGTATGTAACTGTAGTATATTGTCTTCAGATGCTATATATATATATATTAGTGCTGTCAAACGATTAATCGCAACCAAAATAAAAGTTTTTGTTTACATAATATACAGTATATGTGTGTACTGTGTATATTTATTATGTATATATATATATATATATATGTACACACATACAGTATATATTTTGAAAATATTTACATATATCTATTTCTATTCATATAATTGATATTATATATAGTATATGTGTGTACTGTGTATATTTATTATGTATATATATATATATATATATAATGTACACACATACAGTATATATTTTGAAAATATTTACATATATCTATTTCTATGCATATAATTGATATTATATAAAAATATTTTTAATATATAAACATAACATTTTTCTGAAATATATGCATGCATGTATGTGTATTTATATATACATAATAAATATACAGTACACACTATGTAAATAAAAACTTTTATTTTGGATGCGATTAATCACGATTAATCATTTGACAGCACTAATATATAGTTTCTGTCTGCACTGGATGATAACAAGAGCAAGCAATGTATGGTGGAAGTGAAAGTGGAAAACACTTGCATAAGAATGATCTCCCTTGGGCTATATCACCTGTTTTCACAGAATAATAGATGTGATGAATTTTAAACATGAAACCAAGACACACCTACAATCAAATCAGCATAGGGCCTTGAATAAAATAAAAACCCTCAATGTATTATCAGTTAGAAAAGATTCAAATGCAGGTAGACACTTCAGCGCAATTTGATCTAGTGAGCTTCCCTGTTGCAACAATACAAATACAACCCAATTCAAACTATGAAAATAAAGGAGCCCATTGTGTATGTGGTATTTACAGTAGAAAAATATGACAGCACAGTATTAATATTAAGGGATAGAAGGGGACATTTTATAATAAGATTTATTTGTTAGTTATGCATTAGGTATCATGAATACAATTTTTTACATCATTTATTAATCTAGGTTAATATTCATTTAAGATATGCTTTTGATCAGTGTTCATTTATGTCTGTTTATACAACTTAAAACTGCATTAGTACGGTAAAGGGTTTCATTAGTTGTTGCTGTTGTAGTAGCTTTTCTCACACTTTTCTAGTTCAAATTAATCAAGCATGGTAATCTTTAACCAACAGCCACACATCTAGAAAAACTTTTATCAGATTTCACGAAGATATTTTAGAGCAAGCTGATTTATCTGTCCGTTACGCCTGCTAATAAAACTGCACTCTGTACAGGTGCATAACAATGTTTTGCATATATAGCACACAGACACACATACATAGCCTAAAAGTTTAGAAGCATCATCATATTATGGCCATCAGAAAAGGTGCCTCGAAGTAGCTTAAAGAAGTGCCTAGACTTAGTTATTCCAATTGACAGAGGTTCACAGAGTTCTTACCAGTGAGGTAACCTGTAAAGAAATACTCATAGATTTAACTTAAATCAACAGAGAACATTAGAAACCCATTGGAGTTGCTTAAATATGTTCCAATAAATTGACAGAAATCTGAAGAATAATTGGGGGAAAATGTTACCTTTTCTCTGTAGAATGTTGTGGTGGTGAAAATCTGCTTTTTATGTTGCTCCTTCTCTGCTGAAGTTTCTCTTGCTTTTTTCCGTCCCCCTCACTGTCCTTTTTTCTCAACCAACTAGTTTCCTTCTTTCATGTCAGCCTGTTGCAAACCTCTTTGTACACATTAACTGGCTGTTCACTGACCTTCCAGTTTCACTGACTGAATCAGGCAGATATTTGCTTTAAAATGTCCTGTTTCTACTGGTCTCCTCCCTCATACCTCCTTTCCATCCCTTCCCCCTCTCCCACCCTTTAGCCTTTTCTGTCACAGTCTTCTATGGGCTGATATTTTAACCTCCTCATTTGTTTATTCGTTTTTTCTTTGCTATCCACTTCAAGGAAGTGGGTAGTACTAGTTCATAGAAAAGCCACAAGGTTAAACATAAGAATATTTTTGTACTGAACTTGTGAAACCTCACTGAAGCTGCATGTGAAACTTTCACATGAACCCTGTCTCTGAGACAGCTCAATCACATTTCATCTAGCTTCAGTTAAGAGGTCAAAGTGTTACAGCTTGTCACTGCAAATAGTTTATTTGTAAAGAAGGCCGTTCTGTGCAGAATTACAAACAATACTTTACCTTTTTAACAGGGTACTGGCAAATACCAGGATTCTAACCAAGACATTTCACTTCTTTTTCCAGTGGTTTGTTTCACATTATCGTCTCAATTTTTGGTCCTGAATATCTTTTAATACGGGACATGAAGGTTTTAGGGTTTTATGTAACATTTAAACTTAAAATCTCATTAAAAGATATAGAGTGCAAAATAAAACATTTAAAAAAAATTTAAGGTTATGCATGTGTGCATTTACAAGGGCATTTTAGTGTTGGCAGAAGACTTAAATATATGCAAAAAGTATTTGGTGTTGAGGAAGTACATGACGGTAAGCACGTTCCTTTGTCTGCTAGTTGTCCTCTGCTATGTTATTTTAAGGCACTACTGTTCAAAAGTGTTGGGTCAAACATCAGCAAGAAATGCATAATGTTACAAACGATTTCCATTTCTAATAAACTGCGTTTTTCTTATCTTTATTCATCCATTCATACTGAACAAAAATGTATTGCAGGATCCACAAAAATATTATGCAGCAAAATTGTTTTCACTGATATTTCTTGAGCACCAAATCAGCATATTAGAATGATTTCTGAAGGGTCATGTGGCACTGAAGAAACTGCTAATGAATAAATAAATGAATAGCTTCATCACAGGAATACATTATATTTACTGTATTTTTCACCAAACAAATGCAAGAGATTTCTTTCAAAATCATTAAAAAAAAAATCTTACCAACCCCAAACTTTTGAATGGCTGTGCAGAAACTCAAAGCTATGTGTAGATGAACGTTTAACGTCAAGCAAACATGTCTTGAAAATGAACCACGTTCAAGACTGTAATGTAACTTTATATACTGAGCTAGTGCATTTTTGCATAAGAGATGTTACAGAAAAACTCTGTGGTATCATTAAACATGTGATAATCCAAGAATTCTGATATTTGTGTCCCATTAAGACAACGTGTGAGAGCACTACACTTTATCTAATCACACCATCCTTTAAAATTATATCACTAATGAGAACTTAAAAGGAATGTACTGTAGCACCAAAAAATACTCAGGAAGTCAAGTGGGAGCAGGACCAGAGTTCAGGAAATGAATTTATATAGGATAATGAATGCATTCCTGTGGCCTCGATTGCATGCCATGTCCGCAGAGTTCACCGCTTAGATGTCTCAAGCCAAGCTGCTGTTATGTAAGACTGTTTCTGAGAACACTCAATATCAGTTCCCCATTACGACATGATTTCATTCTAATTGCGGTGATAATTTACTTCAACTAAAACTTAGAAATGATAGTGTCTAATTTCTACAGAATCCATGAACAAAGTGCCATAACAGATCCTCTTTATTGCATGATTTTTAAACACAATGGCAAGTATGTGTGTTACATATACAAAGGATAATACAAAAAAAAGACCACAAAACACATTAATCATACTGTCCAACTGATAAAAGCACTTTTGAATACTTGTGACTACTGTATTATACTTGTATTAAGCTGCCAGAAAAAGAAAAATACCAATCATGACCACCTAAAAGTTTATTATTCTCAACTTATGAACCGTTTTTGCCATCTTTAACATTATCAATGGTATTGGCATTTCTTTTAACATGAAAACCTAAAACTCTTTCATCAAATAAAACCGATTTGGAGCTGTTCTAGTGCAACTACAGCGGAGTTTGAGGCAACAGTATCAGTCAAATGTGATCTTTCAGGTTCTGACTATTCATTGGAAAGCTCCTTTGATGTGACAATTGAATGAATGAGAAGTTTGGTAATGTTAGGACTGTGACTGTGAGGCTCCGCGATCGTCATCGTCTGGTGGACAGTCAACAAAGTCAGCCAGCATAGAAGCCATTGCCTCATCATCCATCTGTAAAAGAGATCGAGCGAGTTAGAGAGAATGTGCTGGAGAGAAATGCTCTGAATAAGCAACATTGTTTACATGCCATTACCAGAATAAACACTACAAGTCCAGTAGTTAACAAGTAAACACTGCGCACAAAAGACATTACAAGACACTCTCATTTGTTTTGGCTTCCTCAATCGTTTAAAGAACTAATCCAAACTGAGGCCAGAAACTACTTCATGCAAGATGTAATGTGAATCCTTGCTGTTGTACAGTACATACCCCATGCATGTTCATGCATTACTGTGGCAGTAACGATCGTCAATATTCAAGGAAATACAGTTACTTGGAAAGGGTGACATTTAACAGTGTCATTACCAGTGGCGGCTCGTCGGCTTCCCCATAATTTTGAAAAAAAAAATTAGCCAATCACCATCGAGTGTTCACTTTCAGCACTGAGGAGTGTTGAGAAAATAAACCTTGAATTGGAGGCTAGCCTCCCTTCTTGTATATAAACCAATCATCATAGAGACGTAAATTACGTGATATTAGTTTGAACGTCTTCCGCTGCGCTGATAATGTACCAAGTACTTATGATGAGTAGCGATATTGAATATTTGATTGCCAACAGATTTACCAAGCTGTCATTCAAACAGTGTATATACAAATTTAGGGAAAACAGCCTAAGCTGGATATAGGCTACAGCAGTCGGCTTAATTAAATGGCGCAACAGTAGCTCTCTTTTAACACAGACTTTTAAGAAGGGATGGATGTTTGCTTCAAGTGATAGGCCAGGTAAGTGAACTTATATTATCTTGCTGGGTGTCGTTTTCTGACTAAAAGCAACCAAAAAGCCATTTTAAAGTGGTTAAGCAAATAATAATAATCGGCAGGGATCCCAGACCAATACAATTAGTGTGCCTCCTCTATTTTAAAACCCACGAGCCGCCACTGGTCATTACTGAGGTCGCTGGCCTTTGTAGTAATGCTGAGAACATAACATTAGGGTTTCTCAGTGTACTAAGGTAACCAAAATACACATTACCATTCAAAAGTTTGGGGTCTGTAAATTAATTAATTAAATTTAATAAATTATTTTTAAATACACTCTTACGCTCACTAATGCTATATTTATTTGATAAAAAATACAGTAATACTGTGAAATACTACCATTTAAAAAGTCTTTATTCTATTTTATCAATTTGTAATGTAATTTATTTTTGTGATAGCAAAGCTGACATTTTTTAGCAGCCATCACTCAGGTCTTCATTGCTAGAAATATCAGCAAATTCTAATATGCTAATTTGGTGCTCAATTATTCTTTTTGAATCAATCCAAACCTGTGTAGCTAAGGGCTATGCATTTGGAGAATTCAGAAATCAGCACCAGGGTTAGACATTACTCCGTTACCTTTTTCTTTTCGGTGCCATGCTCCGAAGACTCTCCTTCCTCGCGATCCTCCATTTTCCTCTTTGTTCCCCTTGCTTCGGAATCCTCTCCCTGTTCACCGCTCTCTTTCTCTACCTCTTCCTCTGCTGTCTCGGCTACACTCTGTAGCACCTCTTGCTCAGACGTGGATGGTGTGCTCTGATTGGTTGTGTCTTCGGGCTGTAATTCTGGTTCTTGTTTTTGAACTTCGTCTTCTACAGTCAATTCCTGACCCTGTTGTGACGGCCCAGCATCTTCCGCAGGATCTTCTGGTCTTGCCACTTCCTGCTCACATGTTTTCACTTCAGGTTCAACCGCCTCTACTCTGGTGTCCTCTTCATGGCCTTCTGCATCTTCACTGATTACAAGACTCTCTATTTGATCCTTGCCAACCACAGGTTCATTTCTCTCAACTGCTCCAATGTTTTCAATTTCCTCCATGGTCCCCTTGTCCTTGATTCTTTCATCTGCATAGACACTCCTCACACCCTCCATCTCCTCGATCCCTGGTTCAACTTCTCTCTCTCTCTCCATGCAGAACATTTCCATCCCTTGCTGCTCCTCTGCCTCAATCATGACCTCTGCCTCCTCCTCGCCCATCATCCCTCTGCCATTGTCTCCCTCCAATGGCTGGATCTCCTCACTTTCCTCTTCATCCTCATCCTCACCCTCTTCGTCCTCAAAGTCTTCGAACTCTTCCGCACTGTACTCTTCATCAATGAAGTCACTGCCTTCCTCTTCCTCCTCT